ATCAAATTTTAAAAAGAAAAGAAAAGATGGAATTAATTAAATAAATTAATATTTTTTTGGAGAGGCTTTTGCTATAGGGTGTGTGTGCTCGCCAGAAAGACAGAGAGAAACAGAGAGACAGAGAGCGAGAAATCACCCCCCCAGAGGGGATGGCCATGCTGCAATCCCTTCTTCTGTATTCTCTCTGGATCTTGGGCAAGCACGCACACACGCCCAACGTGAGTTTAAGCCACTGGGTTCAGGACGCGAACCACAGTCAACTACATGGGAGCCCAGCGACAGCCATTATGCCAACTGCTGATCCCAATAAATAATTCTTAAAAAAAAAAAAAAAATGGGGAGGGCCAGCAGATAGCATAGCAGTTATGTCACTGGACTTCCCCATGGCTGACTGTGGTTCGAGTACTGGACCTGGTGACTTGAAAATCATGCCCAGTGTGTGTGCATGCATGCCCAAGATCCTGGGAGGAAAATAGAGGAAAAAGGATTGTGCTGTGGCCATCACCCTGGGGGGCGATTTCTCGCTTTCCCTCTCATTGTTTCTGTCTCTCTCCCTGGCAAGCAAATGTGCCCTAAGGCAAAAACTTCTTTTTAAAGAAAAATTTTAAACAAAAACTTACACCAGACTCCTTTAGGGCTGTCTACACACCTTGTTAATGCAAAGAACAGATCGTTACATCACTGTTAATATACGTTTCCAGAGAACTTCTGCTAATGGACTTTTACCCAATCCTGTCTCTTTCTCCATCTCCCCGAGACCCTCTGTTACCTTTGTCCAATAAGAACTCTTTCTAAACAACTTACACCTTCCATAGTTCTTCTTTTAGTCTAGTTAATTATTTAATTTTTTAGTTCTTTGAAAGAGACTGGTTTCATCAGAGCTGGTCGATATGTCTGTCACTTTTTTTTTTTTTAATTTTTTTTTTTTTTTTTTTTTTTCTTTTTCCCAGAGAAAGGAGACTGGTTTCATCAGAGCTGGTCGATATGTCTGTCACTTTTTTTTTTTTTAAGTGTTATTTTATTTATTGATTTTCATTTTACCAAGAGAAGGACAGAGTGAGAGAGAGGGGAAGTGAGAAAGCAAGCCACCAGGTCCGGGTCTCAAACTGTGGTCAACCATGTGGGAGTCCAGTGCCCTTAACCATCACACCACCTGCTGGCTTCCATGTCTGTCATTTTAATCCACCACTGCTGTAGGTAGTTCTGACCACATGTTCTGAGTGCTCCCCATGCATGGGCTGGTAAATCAGTATCTCTTCCAGGTGCTACTGTGAAGGTAGTAAGAGTGGTGGTAGAAATAGGCATGTAGGGGGACCAGCAGATGGCATAATGGTTCCGTTGTTGGCCTCCCACATAGTCGACTGAGGTTTGAGTCCTGGACCTAGTAGGGGTCAGCAAGTATTGTGGGTTAAGGTGTTGCACTCCCATGTGGCAAAACACTGTTGGAGTTGGAGTCCCCAAACCTGGTGGTTTCAAAAAGCACTGTTGGAGTCCCCAAACCTGGTGGTTTCAAAAACACTCTGGGTGCTTGTGAGTTCATGCCAAAAATCCTGAGAAGAGAATGGAGATGGGGTTGCAGTATGGCCATCCCTTCTGGGATGGGGGTATGGGGGTGGGTGGGGGGTGGTTTCTTAATTTCCCTCTCTTTCTCTCCAGCAGGAGCACTATGACGAAAGCCTTTACAAAGAAAAGCAAAGAAAGAAAGTAGGTGTGTGTCACAGTTGCCTACAATTTCATTTTGGGGAACCCACAATTAGTTTAAAAAGTCTGTGTATGATGAGGCATCTCCAGATATTTGATGATCTTGACTCATGCTGCTATTTTTTTTTTTTTTTAATCTCTTTATGGGACCTGCAGGTGACGTGGTGGGTAAGATGCTGGACACTCCCACATGGCAGACCACAGTTTGAGTCCTGGACCTGGTGGCTTACTTTCTCACTCTTTCTCTCTCTCTGTCTCTCTCTGGTCAAATTAAAATAAATGAATGAATAAATAAAATTAAATAAATAAGTTAAAAAAATTTTGTTACTGGAGGCACATTGTTTTTACCTAGGATCAGCCTACCCTACATCCCAAGATTAGGGAGCCCATTTCAATTGCAGCATCTTTACGAACATAGTTGGTACAGAGACAGAAGAACACTGAATGAAGAGCTTTATAAAAGCTATCACTTGCAACATATATGATTCCTTGTGACCTAGTGAAGGGAGACTTTTTTGGAACCTGTCAGGGGACAGAGTGCATGGGTAGAATATCTGATAGAGTTAATACAATATCCCTGTCCCCTAGAGTCTTTAAATTCCCACCTGCACATTATATAAGAAGATTTTGGGCTTTTCAGGGGATAGTCAATGAGCCAGCATAGAATCAGGATTTGTATCCCCCCCCCCATTTTCTTTCTTTCTTTTTAATTAATTAACTTTAATTTGGCCAGAGAAAGAAGAGAAAGAGAGAAAAAATAAATAAGAAAGGAAGTTCCCATGTCTGGGACTCAAAGCATGGTCAGCCAGCCATGTGGGAGTCTAGCGCCCTTAACCACCACGCCACCTGCCATACCTCCCCTCCCCATTTTCTTACAAAAACTATCAGGGTCAGATGGTGGTGCAATGTTACCACAACTGGAGCCACATGAGAAGGTCCTCTGTTCATTTCTAGAGGGCTCCCTGTCCAAGCTGGGCACTCATGTGCATTCCTGTGATTCTGGCAGCTAAGGCTGGGAGTGGAGGCTAACAGCATGAGCATCCTGTTGGGTCCTCTCGCTCTCTCATCGAAGGATCATCATAAATGGACTATACTCTAGACCTGAACATGGTCTCATGCCTTAGTAATCATGGCAGGGACTCATTTTGTCCAGGCCTGTCAGATGACTATGAGGCATGAGATCCTGTTCAGGACTGAAGTATAGGCCATTTATGTTGATTCATCTGAACCAGCAGGATTGTAGCTCTCCCCATGTGACCAGACAACAACAAGGTTCCCCACTACGTCCCTGACTTTTTTTTTTTTTTTTTTTTTTTTTTTGGTCATAGGGCACATTGCAATTACAAGAGAGGGAAAAAGAGGAAAAGAGAGAAATCACCCTCTAGGGGACATGGCCACTCCACAATCCCTTCTCCTTCATTCTCCTATTAGGATTTTGGATATACATGCATATGCACCTGACATGTTTTTTAAGCCGCTGGGTCCAGGACTCAAACTGTATAGTTGACCATGTGGGATCCAGCTGCCTTAACCATTAGGCTATCTGCTGGTCCATGTTTTGACTTTTTATTGCAGTATACGTACAGGAAATATACAGCTAGATGAATTTTCACAAACTGAACACACCTGTGTAACTAACACACCCAGATCAAGAAGCACATTTCTAGCACCCATGAAGAGTCCCCTTCCTTTTTCCAAGAGTAACCATTATCCTGACTTATGACCCCATTTACAACTGTTGCTTGCTTTGTACTTTATACAGATGGAATCATAAAGTATGCATTCTCTGTGTCTGACTTCTTTCATTGAATGTTATTGTCTTAGTCATGATTAAAATTATAATTTTTTCTTTTCCTCCCTCATGTTTGTTTATTTGTTTCTTCCATGAGAGAGAAAAGAGAGAGACAGGTGCCCCACACCATGCCATGATCCAGTTCTAGTCAGCTCAGGTCATATGCACTCAGCGTATACAGGAATACTTCGGGATGCAAACCTGGGACTGTGCTATGTGACCTCAGTATTAAGCAGTGTTCTTACTGTTGTGTCTGTGTGGCTGTCCTAGAATGGTAATTTTTGCGCTAAATATATTTTATCACAAAAATCATGAAGTATTTTAAATATCAAGAATACTTGCAGGGGGGCTGGCAGGTGGCATAGTGGTTAAGGGCACTGGATTCCCATGTCCACATTGGTGACTGCGGTTTGAGCCGCAGACCTGGCAGCTTGCTTTCTCCCTTTCCTTTTCTCTCTCTCTGGTCAGGTTAAAAAATGATAATAACAAATGGAATTAAATAAATAAATAATCATTTTTAAAAAAAGAATACTTGTGGAGAGTGGCCAATCTGAACAAACATGGTGACCTTTAGACACATGCAGAAACATGGGTCTGTGAGCTGTCATTTGCAGGGCAATGAAAGCAATTAACATGTGAATATGCTAGCTGCCTGTAGTTGGGTTAAAGGAAGCCACAGTGTTTATCAGAATGGGCCCCAAAAGATCAGAGAAACTACATGGCACCAGCTGTCTTCCACATCTTCAGCCAACTAACATCCTAAAACAACTGGCTTTGCATTCCATTTCCTCTTCCCCCATTTTCTGCCCTTTAAAAGAATAAACCTGGGACTAGTTTGTGGTCACGGCTATCTCCATCAGAAGCTGGACCCACTTGATCCTTGCTTTTCCATACTCGTCTTTATGTGTTTATGTTTATTTCTAATCCACAGGCCCCCTACTCAGAAAAATGTGTTCTGCTGAGTGAGTCCCAGCAAATACTCTTCTTTCCAATCTGCCATCTATAGTGGGAGAGTACCAAGATGCAGATTTCATAAAAACCCTTATGGGGGAGACCATTCACCCTGGAGGTTGAACCGTCTTATACAATAGAAAAGGCAAAAGCCAAAATCCAGGATAAGGAAAGAATTCCTCCTGATTGGCGAAGACCAGTCTTTGCTGGCAAGCAGTTGGAAGATAGGCATACTGTTTGACTACAACATCCAGAAAAAGTCCATGCTTCATCTCATGTTTAGACTTCATGGTGGTTCCAAGAAAAGAAAGAACTCTTATAAAACTCCCAAGAAGAACGAGCATAAGAGAAATAAGGTTAAGCTGGCTGTTCTGAAATACTATAAGGTGGATGAAAATGGCAAAATTAGTCCCCTTCATCGGGAGTGCCCTTCAGATGAATGTGGTGCTGGAATTTTTATGGCCAGCCATCTTGACAGACATTATTATGGCAAATGTTATCTGACTTAACTGCTTTAACAAACCAGAAGACAAGTAATTATGTATGAGTTAATAAAAGAAATGAGGGGCCAGCAGGTGGCGCAGTGGTTAAGGGTGCTGGACTCCCACATGGCTGACTACGGTTCAAGTCCTGGACCTGGGGGCTTGCTTTCTCACTTTCCCTTTCTCCCTCACTCTGTCCCTCTCTGGTCAAATACAAATAAATAAATAAATATAGTTAAAAAAAAAAAGAATTAACCTCTAAAAAAAGAGAGAGAGAGAAAGCAAGAGAGAAAGAGAATACTCTTTAAGGGGCCAATAGGTAGTGTGGTAATTAAGGCTGTGGATTCCCACATGGATCACCATGGTTCAAGTATCAGACCTGGTGGCTTGAAAATTGTGCTAGGCACATGTGTGTGAGTGCCCAAAGTCCCACGAGGAGAACAGAGGACAAGGGATTGTGCCGGGGACCAGCCTCAGTGGGGGTGGGTTGGTTCCACGGGAGGCGACGACGCTGGAAGAAAAGAAAGACAAAGGCCTCGTGCTTTTTCATGCGCGTCCTAAGCCGGACACTCCTCTAAGATAGCTCTCTGAGGAGTGACAACTGCTAGGAATCATCGTGCCTTTTTATTGAAAATGGGATACATGCAAGTAAATGGGAGAGGGGCTACGTGTTCTAATGATCAATTCATAAAGTTTTAACAATAGAGATCAAAGATTCTATTCAGGGTTTGATTAAGGGCAGGTCGATACAATTCAACAATAGATTGATGTAAGCAAGCTTTTGGGAACTTCTGTTCTGGGAGTGTGATTTCAGAGAACAGCTCCAGCAGGCAGAGTTAATTATCAGCCAGTACTTGGCGGCAGCCGTCTTGCGGTTACTGGTTGCGTTGCTAGAAAAGAAAATCTCAAATACAGATATTAGTTTTTATAAATCTCAATAAAGAATGATATTTATATAATTTCATAGAGATGTAAAATTAATTAAAGGAATCCTAATATATTTACCTATTCTGAAGGGGTGAAGTTAGTGTTCACTTGATGAGGGCAGGGATACAGCCTTTTCAACTGGTGGTGAAGTGACTAATGAGTAAATGGAAAACTTTGTGGCACACCTAGGCATTCTTATTGTGCTTGTGGCGC